ACGCAGATGTGGACAGTACAGGGTTGCCAGCCAGGGTGTATGTATCCCCAGAGGTTTCCCCTCAATTAATCTAGTTGTCGCCAGATGATCCTACTGAATGGGGACCCTTTTGGGTGTACTGTAGTAGAAGGATGGGTATAATATGGCTGTACATGTAGTAGGGGAACGCATGAGTATATGTAGATACATGTAACCCTAAACCCTAAACCCTATACATGCATGAGCTCTTTAGAAGACACGTCAAAACCGTAAGTTCATTGCCCCAAAGGATACGCGCATGTTGGACATGTGAAGGCCCATCGAGTTGGAACAGGGTTATGGGGCGTAGACTGAAGGTCTAGGGATTTGGTTTAGGGCTTAGGGTGTATGGTTTAGGATTTACCCAAACGGACTTAGGGTTTAGGGATTTGGTGTGTAAGTAAAGTATTGTAGTTCTATTAGGATTGCGAGCGGACAGTGTTGGTAGTCTTTCAGGCTTCTACACTCATGTTCGCGGGTGTTGGTGGATGGAGGACACCTTGCAAAACGGAACATGCACAAAATGCGGCCTTGCCAGGGCGTGCTAGGGAATATGCGGTAGAAGCTCCCAACGGGTCCATGTAGGTGTATAGTATATACTTTGGGCCCAAAGAGTTTCCCAGATAACTACTTAAGGGCCCAAGTATATGCCATCAAGCTCCATGGACCCTTTGGGGGTGGTATCTGCAGTCGTCAGATGTTGTTCAATGGTTACTGGAAGCCGTTGTGAATCTGGTTATATGCTCCTAGTACCAGGTTACCAGACTGGGCGCCAGGAAAGTAGACCTCCCACCCCTCTTCTAAGACCCAACGCGAAACTTATTGGCTCTTAGTAGGGAACAAGAAAATATATTTGATAGGGATTGTATAGGGGGTATATTCCCTTAGTCCCTACAAAGAGCCAGTAAACAATTGTGGACTTTGGAGCCAGAAAGTCCTCTGAGTCCTTCGCAAAAATTGCCCCAGATGCCATGAAGCGCAAACCTCCAAGTGCCAGGGACTCTTCGTCTACCTGGTGCTTACCAGAGAATGGGGGAGCGGCCCAATACCCAACAAGAATCTTTATGAGACATTCCACTGGGTTGTTGAATGACATTCTCTATTCTGGATTGGTTAATTTCGCGCTGTAGTTTAGTAATACTCAAGATAAGGCCACAATAGTAGATCAAACATTGGCCCAAAATCCATGCAAGAAAGAGGTCCAAACGCTCATCATTCTACACACTTTTGGGTAACCCCAAAACCGTTAATCCTAAACCATTCCCCCAGCCCCTACGAAGCACCAGGGAGTTGTTATGACGGCCGGATGCGACACAACCTCCCGACAAATGCCAGGGAGATGATGGGAATTTCCACAACCCTAGGAATTATGTTAGGCTTTAGGGTTGAGCGCTATGTCAAGGGGTTTGGGGTAAGGTTGTTTAGGGATTTGGGCTTTTTTTTAGGGCTTATAGGGTGTGTACGGATGGTGGGGTTCATGGGGTTGAAAGGGGTTTGGAATTTCAGGCTTAGGATGTTTGGCATGTTTCTGAACTGTTTTGCTTCCCTGCTTGGGCAGCCACCTTGCTTGTCCATCTTCTCTTTGTTGGCAACCTCAGAGATGTTACATTTTGCACCATGAGATAAACCCTGAACCCTAAACCCTCAACCTTTATACCCCGAGGAGTCAGAGAATGTGCGGAAATTCACAAGCTGTGCCGGCCGCATCATTTGAAAAAAGGAAGGCCAAGCTATATGACATATAGTCTAAACTCCTAGTATCCTCTATCCCCTATAGTAGTCCCTTATATAATCCCCTATATAACCCCCTTTAAGGAGTTTAGACTATAGCTCACATTTGTGCGATGGGGAAGCTTGGGGCTTGGGTCGTTCAGGGTGCAGGGCTTAGGGTTTCGGGTGTAATTAGGGTTATAGGGTTTAGGGTCCACTGCTAAGGGTTTAAGGTTTACCTGAACCCCAAAATCCGGTAAAATCATAGCCCCAAACCCCTAAAAACAGCCCAAAAGGCAATTATTCTACATATTTTGGGGGTTCTGGTAGTGTTTAGAGTTTAGCGTTTAGGGTTTAGATGTAGGGCTTAGCTCCCTTGCGTCTGGGCTTGATCCGCAATGCAGCTTCATGGTTTTCTATGGACCTCTCTCGCAATTCATCAGACAGTACGTCTTGTACCCGAAGCTCATAAAACATGCGCTTCATAACTACTTGTCTGTCTCTTTTTTGTGGATGTTCGTGTTGGTCAATTCTTTTGTACCTATTCTTCAGGTCTAGGCAGCGCGAACTTCCAGCTAAAGACGAGAACTTGTGCGGTAGAGCTCTGCTCATGAGAGGCTACGCCTGGATCTGCACATGGTAGTTTCCCAAAACAGGGCACCCCAATATATACCCCCCAAATACTATAATCCTTACTATGGGGACCCCCACAACAGTACCCTAATTTTGGGCAAAAACGCGCAGATCTGCGGGGGTATGAAGGGTATCCCGATCTGGCCAAGTTCCCGAACCATAAGCCCTGTTCTCCAAATGTCTGAATCGACTTTTAAGACGGTGTCTTACTTTAGGAGGACCCCCTGTAATAGTGGTATAATAGGACTATAAGAGGACCTTTATATAATCCCTATTATCCATTATAGTCACTATTACTGGGTGGGGGGTCCACCCTAGTCTTACTGTTGGAGAGTAGGGCGAGTGTCTCTTCGAGGGAGTAGCCCCACTCAACCGCAGATCTTTCCAGTCCTGAATTGTCAGGACTTAGCAAGCAGACATACAGTTAGGGTTCAGAGGCGAAGGGGTATTCAGGGTTTTTCGGGCAGTTCAGTAATACCTTCAGTACACCCCTGCCCCCTTTACACCCTAAATCCTGTGAGCCTCATGTCCTACACAGTGGCGGTTGCGTGGACTGGAGAAGGTTGACTTCCAGTGTACTGTAAGTACCTCTCGCGTGGCTAAATCACCGCAAAATCCCCAAGCTCCACGCCAGATGCCCAAAAATCTGGCAGCAGTAGCTGCTAACCATAAACCTTAATGTCTTCAGAACCCACAACCCGGACCCTACAACCTGTAGGCGTTGGGCTCAAACAATTTTGACGGGAGTTGTTGGCTTCTTCAGCCCAATAAAACTCGCCTCCTGGCCGAGAGAGTTTGGACGGGCGAGTGGTTTTCATCATCTAAATATAATTGCAGTCATACCCCATATATAAGCCTACTTAAGGGGCTTTTGAGAAGCGCGCGATAATCACAACATCACAACCATATATGTGCGTTTCCCCTAAACCCCAAAACCTAAACCCTGAACCCTAAACCCCAAACCCCGAGTCATCGATTTCTTCAGGAAGATATGAGGGCAGCCTTTGTATGTGAAACATATAGGCTGGGGTTGAGGGTTTAGGGGTTTAGGGTTTAGGGGTTTGGGGTTTAGGGGTTGAGGGTTCAGGGTTAGGATTTTGGTTTCAATTGAGCCCAGTTGATTTTCGCCTAATGCTGAGTGTGGGAGGTACCCGAGACCCGAAACCTCAGTGGGGTGTGGAATAATGGGGACCTGGTGCTTAGAGGGGGGGTTCCATATAAGTTTTGGAAAGGTACTGGCCGGTGTCATAGTCTAGTTGTCATGGGTTTAGGGTTTGGATTTAGGGCTTATAATCTAGTTGTCATGGGTTCCCCTTCTACCCCCTCTATACAACCCCTCCAGGTTCCCCCTTAGTTCACCTAACTTGGCCTAAGGGGGAACCTTTGGGGGTAGTCTAGACCGGGTAGCAATGCAGACCTGTGGTCAATAAACCCCCTCCTTTTCAGGGCCTTAATATTAGGATCCTCAGTATAATCCCTTTTAAGCGGAGGGAGTTCGCTAATCACGGGCTACCTGAGGGGAACCCTAAACCCTAAACCACAAAACCCTAAACCTTAAACCTAAACCCAAAACCCCTAATCCCTACACCACAAACCCCTAAATCCTAAACCCAATACTTGGTCTGGCAGATGTTATCAGCGAGCCTCGCTCTTCTCCAGGTTCCGGTTGCACCAAAGCAGCATAAGCGTGAGTACCTCCACTGTCTAGAATCCCAAGTTGCCTCAAGTGAACTATAATCTAGACTCCTTACAGAGGATGATCTAGGCATTATATAGAGTTTAGGGTTTAGGGGTCTAAAGTCCTTAGATGGGGACTATACACTAAGGGGGATACTAGGAGTTTAGACCATAATAGCTCATGTTCCTCACTAAGTTGCTCGCATGTTTCAGGGCATGCCGCAGTCCCATGTGGGATTTAATCGCATTTTTGACAAAGAGGGAGATTTTTCTGACGTGGAATTCACTGGTGCGGATTTGTGGGGATGACTTCGCAATCGTTCCGGTACAGTCTCCTAATCATATGGGTGGCCTCACAGTTTTTTCAGCTTTGAAGCTGCAATTCCCAAGCGCCCTCATGAATGCATGGAAGCCTGCTGCTAGGAGCATGTTCCGATCTAAAGCTAATGGAGTCAGAGGGTCTAGGGTTTAGGTCCATGGTTTTAGGCTTCAGGGGTCCAGAAATCATCCCCATCTTGCCTTAAAAGTCCAAGGAGCCAAATAATAGGGTTTTAGGGCCCCTATGCCATAATATTTCTGCTATTTCGGCCCTAAAACCCTATTATTTGGGTCCTTGCACCCTTAGCGTTGTAGTTGGCACAAGATTGATACTGACGCACGCGTATGGGAGCTTCTGAAGGTGTACCCTGCGCGAGACCGTTATAATCACCTTTATGCAGCGATTCATCCCTAGGGTCCCTTTGGGGATTTAGGGGTTAAGGTTTAGGGTTTAGGTTTAGGGTTTAGGGTTTAAGGTTTAGGGTTTAGGGTTTGGTCCCCTTTGCTTTAAGAAACTAAGGTGTCCCACAATTAGGGGTTTCATTTAGGGGGGTCCCTATACCAAGAACTGTAGTAGCTTGGGGTCTGTATGGGGGTCTCTCTTTGTGGGGAAACTAGCAGATTACCTCTTGCTGTGGCCCTAGGACAGTATGCGCCGAACCGCACTTTGCTTGGGGTCGGTGGCTCTCGCCAGCGGCAAGGCTGGACGTTCAAGTGGCTCCTAATGCTAGAATATGATTATCATTATTACCTTTTGCATTATCATTACTTATTACCTTTTGCATTATCATTACTATTATACCCTGACTCCGAACCCTAAGCCGGGTTATCACCATGGAGGTACCTTCGCCCCCGAAGAGTAATGGCTTTGACCCCAAGCAATGTGTACAAAGGCTGGTCTTGAATAGGCACTCGGGAGGTTCTGGTATGGTGTGGGATTGAGGCTCTATATTAGGGATTAGGGTGTGGCTGGGTGTTGCGTCTAGCTGATTCAGATTTTAGGATTCTTGGGCCTTCAGCATATGGGTTAGGGTTTAGCTTTTAGAGTGTAGGGCCTAGGGGTTGGGGTGTGCAGGTTTGGGGATTTTGGGTTGAAATAGGGCCTCTGGCTGGCGGTGCTTTGATTTGGTGTGGTGGTGGTGGTGGGGCAGGGGCGACGGTGGTGGCATTTGCAGTATTACGGGCTTTGTTGGTCGTTGATCAGGATTTAGGCTGCTGGGGTTCTATGGTTGCAGGTATTTGGGGTCTGCCTATATAGACTGTTGGGAGTGCTCCAGGGCAGAAACTTTGAGGGTCAGGGGGATTTAGTAAGTAGATAAATGCTCGGTGTAACTAGGGTTAACAGAAGAATTATCATGCTTATGAACCAGCTCGCTACCCTCCAAGTAGGATCCAAAAACCCAACACCTGACAGGTGAACCCTTTAGCCTGCAGAGCTTAAAGCTTGGAATATGGCGACCCCAACCCCAAAAAACAAACTCTAAGCCTCAAACCCTCTACATACATATATGTATATCTCCTTATACTGTAATTACCTAAACCCTAAACACTCCACCTATATAGAATAATTGCCTTTTGGACTGTGTTTCGGGATTTTGGGCTATTCTTTTACTTACTTTGGGTGTCAGGTAAACCTTGCATCCCTATGTAACTCCATATAAAGGCATCCTCCGAGCCAGGTATACTTTTCCGAGACCTTTGGCGATGGCTGGGAGTTTCCTGGCTTAACCTTGTAGCCAACCTCTTAGTTTCAGGGTTTATAGGCTTTAGGGGTTTAGGGTTTAGGGGTTGGGGGTTTTAGGGGGTTTAGGGGTTAAGGGTTTAGGGGTTGGGGTCCGGGTTTGAGGGTTCAGGCTAGGGGTTTGGGATTAGGGTTCAAGCTCAGGTAGAGTGCAGGGTTTAAGGCCTAGGGTCGCCAAGATATCTTTCGACGGTTTAGGGCCCTGGGTTTGGGGGTCTGGGGATTCTTTTTTAGGGACCTGTTTGTGGATCTGTGCTTGTTTCAGGGCATACATTCATTAGATTGATACTGCTTGGCGTATCATGTGGGGATGTGTTGACAACGCTGAACCCGTAGGTGGATCCGCAAGCTTCTGCGGAGACTCTGAAGGGTTGCTACCCGAACCTTAAAGGTCTTACAGGGCTTTTGGTTTAGGCAATAATTGCCCACCCACCTCAAATAGTCAGAAAAGCAAGTATTCCGCACAGTTTTGGGGGAAGTCGCTCTCACGTGTTGTATCCCCGAGCCACGCAGTTCAGCGCATTTTTGCGGGACTCCTATTTGGCTGGGGATTCATATTGAGCCACTGTCAAACAGGGCGTTTATGAGCAAAGCATATAGGGCTAGACTGCATGACGTGTATGGGCGTGACAGTTTTTGTACGAGGAGGTTTGACGAATGTTCTTGATACAAGAACCACTAAACCCGAAACCTTAGCCACTAAACCCTAACTAAACCCTAAACCCCTAAGCCCCTGAACCGTAAACCCTAAACCCCAAACCCCTAAACCCTTTGTGCCACCTCTTGCCCTCTCAGGAGCCGATGGACGCCCAGTGAGTGGAAGAAGAGCGACGGAACTCAGGGCATCTTGGCCCTTGCAAAGAAACTGGCCTTAGGGATTAGAGTTTAGGGAGTGCGGATTAGGGTGTAGGGCTTAGGGCTCTTCACCCATCTGAAGCCCATGTTTGAGGGCTTATTTGTTGTCGAAACCTATTGGGGGGTTTAGGTTGTTTGCAACCGCAGAGTCGTGTGAGGTACCTGGCAGCTCTCGGCCGGCAAATGGCCACTTGCAGTCAACAAAATCTCAGTCAACGTTCAATATGGTTTTGGGTTCTGGGTTTAGGGGTTTAGGGCTTATAGGGTTTTGGGATGAAAGTGTTTAGGGCTCAGGTCCGCACTACAGGGCTTATGGGTGCAGGGCTTTTGGCTTTGTTGCCTTAGGGGTTTAGGGTACTTGTTGTAGCTGATTCTTGTATTTTGCAAGAGGTCTTGGTTTCAGAAAAAGGGCCCTGCTTCTAGGCACAAAAAATATCAGCTTTATAACGGGGACACTCAAAGCTGTTATCCCTGAGGAATATACTTCATGTTTAGTGCTGTATACATAACCCCAAGGAACTGTCGTCAGAATACCGTCTCATTTCAGGTCTAAGGTGATTACAAACAGGAGCCTTTTGAGACCCTAAACCCTAATCAATCCCTAAACCATATACATCCCTACATATCCCGGGTATCTCCATATACGCTTTGCATACAATTGTACAGGGACCTCTATTTCCGGAGCACCTACTTGGAGGGTCGGGGGACTTAGTAAGTAGGCCAATAGCCCCTATAACCCAGGTTTGCCAACGAGGCCGAAGACAAGGGCGTGCAGACCGCTGAGGACTCTAGGTGCGGGTTCTCATTCTGCAGTGGGGGACAAAAGTAGAATTGAAACAGCAACATTTCCCCAGTTTCCATTTCTTTTTCCATGTTCTTTTCCATTTGATTCTGGGGGAATATCATTGTATCATGGCTACAGGGATAGGGAGACCTGCAGGTTCTTCGGCCTCTCCGCGGGCTTCGACTCCTTCAGCAACGCAGGCAAGGAGCTGATCATCCAGTACCAGGCCAAGTACGAGAAGGACATCGAGTGCGGCGGCGGCTACGTCAAGGTCGGGCCGAAGCTCAGCGACCCCAAGGCCTTCGGCGACCCCACGCCGTACAACATCATGTTCGGCCCGGACAAGTGCGGCTACACCAAGCGCACGCACTTGATCTTCAATTACAAGGGCAAGAACGTGCTGAAGAAGTCCGACCTGGCCTACAAGCAGGAGGGCGAGGGCACCTCCCACGTGCACCTTTGCTGCAGGTAGAAGTTAGAAGTGTCGTGCAGGTATGCACTCATTTTCCGTTTTTTGCACACCATGTGTCCATACAGCTTTGCCAAGGTACCGACTGATCCTGAAGCCCGACAACACCGCGAAGGTGGAGATCGACGGCGAGAAGATCTACGAGGGCTCCCTGAAGGAGGACTGGGAGCTCTTGGCGCCCAAGGAGATCAAGGATCCCGAGGACAAGAAGCCCAGCGACTGGGTTGACGACAGCATGATGGATGACCCTGAGGACAAGAAGCCAGATGGCTGGGTGGAGGAGAAGCGCATCGTCGACTCTAAGGCCACCAAGCCTGATGACTGGGATGACGAGGAGGATGGGGAGTGGGAGGCCCCCATGATCGACAACCCCGACTACAAGGGCGAGTGGACCGTGAAGCGAATCTCCAACCCAGCCTACAAGGGCTTCTGGGAGGCCAAGAAGATCGCCAACCCAGAATACGTCGATGATGACAACCTCTACAAGTACGAGGACTTCGGCTTCATCGGCTTCGACCTGTGGCAGGTCAAGGGCAACACCATCTTCGACAATATCATCATCACTGATGACGCGACTCGCCACGTTTCATCTGATCAGCAGCAGTTCCTCGAGAACAGGGATCCAACTAAGATGTTGACTGACCCTGCGTGATTGTGATTCAAGATGAAGGTCCTTCTCGACTAACTGAAAAATAATGATTAGCCCTGAGACCACTGTGCATGACTTTCTGGCCACTGACCTTTGAGAAGCTACGTGATGGGGTTGTCAGAGTCATTTTCCTTAGTTGGGTATGTGCGCAAGCAGGGTCAAAAGCTTGGAGATCCCACATGAAAAGAGTGTCGGGGCAAAAGTCAACTGCACTACTATGGGGGCCTAAACAATTACCAGTATCACGGCTCTTGGCATAACCCCTACATGCATTCAGGTCCATTTCATTTTCCATTTGCCTTTCCATATGTCTCTCCACTATTGGGGTAATATCCCCACACCCTGGCCCTAAACCCTAAATCCTACCCATACCAGGATATTGGTAATTATCTAGCCTCCTACATCAATGTGTAGTTGCACGAGCTTGCACAGTTCAGGGGGTAACTCTTCGCAAAGCAACCTGTGTTGCAGGAGTTACCCGTACCCCAGATTACTTATAGCTTAGTAGTAAGTAGCCTCCAGTTAGCAGGTCTAACCCTGGTTGCGGTTACAGGCATGCTTTGCCGAAGGCCCCTAAGCACTGAAAGGCATTCGTTGGTATGAGAAACACAGAACTCTTCCACGGGAGGTAGGCTTGGGGTTAGGGTTTAGGGTGTATCACAGTTAGGGTGGAGAGTTTACGGGTGAGGGTTTAGGGTTTAGGGTTTGGGGTTGAATTTTCCACAGCCTCCAGATCCACCGGGGCGCTGTTTGCAAAGACAGTATCTCGGTCTGTGCGCTTATCAGATCAGGTGGCCTCCTGCTCTATATGGGAGTTTCCTAAAATTAGGGGTACCTTTTTGGGGGTCCTTATAATATGGTCTATAGTATTTTGGGCTCTAGATTTGGGTCCCTTTCTTTAGGGGAACTGCCATATACCCTTTACAGACCTTTACTGTTATCTTAGTACCTTGCATTTGTTGTAGTCAAGCTTTTTCGTAGAGGATAACCTTCCAAATACCATTAGCAAGGTTGCGAAGGACAGCAGACAGCCCAGTTCTTACTCGCAAATTGTAGGATCCTTTCTGTGAGGAAGCCACCAAAGACTTCCCATGTTGGGTTCAGGGTTTAGGGTCCAGGATTTAGGGTTAGGGTTGAACCCTTGGAAATCCCACGCCCCCAAACGTCCCAGCCTCTCAAAGCCCCTCTGACCTTAAACCCTTCATATCATACCCATCTCTCTCTAGAACACCAGATATCCTTATATCACCTACAAGAACTTTCTGAACGCCAAACCCTAAACCCTAAACCCCAAACCCTAAACCCTAAACCCTTTTCCTTTTTTTTATCCTTATGGCCTCAGGTCAAGGAGGCAGATGCCTTCGTTGAGAAGTGGAAGGCGCTGAGCGAGGTCGAGAAGGCCCCGGAAGCAGTGTTAGGGTTCAGGGTTTCGTGTTTAGGTTTTAGGGTTTCGGGTTTTAGGGTTTCGGGTTTAGG